AAGGAATGCCATTATAGCATTTCCTCATATATTATGCAAATGAGGTCCTTATTTGAATAAGTTATGTTAAATTATGTTCACCTTCACTAAACTTCAAACACCCCAAGTATAAAATTCCAGGCAGTTACCACTATGCAATTATAACATTTTCTCATTAATTATGCAAATTAAGTCTTCATTTGCATAATCGATATCTGCCTGTGTTTCTCTCGTTGTTAATAACATATGTCGCAAGCTTGAACTTCCTATCATGGAATGCAGTTGATTAATAGAATTTCCTCATTAATTATGCAAATTACATCCATATTTGCATAATTGTAATATCATTATGTCAAGCATTACTCAAGCTACCTACATACCAAAAATCATGATGATCCATCAATCGGTTCTTGAGTTATCCTCCTTTAAACATTTGTCCTTTAAACCCCCCTGCAGTTCCAGAGCAAGCAACTAGGGGGCCCAAACTCACGTCACTTCTTCCCCAGCACAAGAGCTACCTGCCATCCAAATTTCGTCACCCTAGCATGTCTGGATCATGAGATCATGAGGAAGTTCAGCTGCAGTACCATGACAAGCCGCCAGGGGGCCCAAAATCTAATCAGTTCGAGCTCTCATCAAGACCTACCCACCTACCAAATATCAAGATAATCCATCTAAGCTTTCTCGAGTTATGCTGTTGACAGACACACAGACACACACACACACAGACACACGGCCAGGAAAACATAACCTTCTCCAATTTTTGGCGAAGGTAATAACATGAAGACATCATCGGCACTATGAAAAATTTAAACTGTTCTCCAACTCAAAATTTGACTCACCAGGAATTTTCGACTGAATCACTCAGTCTTCCTCAGCTTTCTGACCCAAATGCTGTGGACACGTAATTTTTCCCACGTGTGACGTCAGCAAAGGGTCAAAGGTCGTCCGAAGTCGATATCGCCCCCCGTCCCGGTTGAGCGATGGTTGAAGTGCCCTGATGTGTATGGCCTCTTTTATGCCTCTCTTGAAGTAATCCTGTTCGGTATCCAAGATTCTGCCCCCCTCCAGATCCACTGTGTGTCCCGGTGATTCTATGTGGATGTGCTGTGACACCTCAGATGCAACAGAACTGGGTCGTCTATGTTCTAGAAACCTGGTTTTTAGTGAGCGCTCAGTTTTCTCGGATATCTCGGATATGATGTTACAAGCCAGAGGTCCCGTGTTTAAGGAGAGCCAAACCTTGAGCACGTTAAAGATCCCACCGCACCGTTATCGAAAAGAGTAGGGGACCTTCCCGGTGTGAGTGGTTCAAACCTTACAGTCTGGTCTCGGGTTTGACATCTTCGAAGAGGTGATAGTCACCTGTTATAATTATGTCAATCCTTCCACAAATCTTCATAAATATCATTTTGTCAATTGCAATTGGCCCTTGGGTATGGATATGACAATATGACCACGACAAGTAAGTGCGACACGTTCCAAATTTACACTTGTTGATGATGCGGATGACTTGTTTATTGAGCATGAAATTGGTCTTGATTGGTTGTAAAAACTGAATGGCACCTGCATATATTACGGAATTCAATATGCTAGACTCATAGAATGCAGTATAAGCAAGGGAGCAAAAACTAGCGACTGGTACCCTTCGTGGCAGTTTCCGACAGGTGAAACGTTGCCAATTCCAGTACTAGTCTTGGTTGTTGCAATATAATTTCCTGACGACGGAACAATATACAAGAAGTCCAAGAATCAACACTAAAACAGCGACATCTAGCGATTTACATGTGAAGTTACATCGATACAGCTAGCTATGAATAACAGCAAAAGTAAATGTTCCGTCTCGAATTTAGTGTTTGCACAAACAACACAACTTCATCAAAAACGTACAGTAACTTATTCTATAACGACATAATCACGTCACCGAAACTTGCAGACTATCCACCCTTTTAATGAACGTCAGAGGGAAGAGATGTGCGTAGTTTCGGTGACGTATTTATTTTATTTTATTTCTCTCTATACGAAGGTGCTCGAGCTAGCTACAGAATTCGCTTTCGATACAAAAACACTTCATAAAGTCACAGATCGAGGATCAGACACGGGTCTCAATACACAATGTCTCTGCACGATGGTGGATGATCAACTTCCGGGGTCGACTCAAAAGTTGAAAGTCCAGTTTTGAAACAACAAGCTGCCTGATCGAACCTGTCACGGGACTTGAGGGACGTACAAAAATCGCGAGGGATAACTTTCACGGTTTGCCACTCAAGATGGAGAATCTGGACCTTGAGGCACTGCTTGAATGCTATGTAAGTCTGTCATGAACATATAAACACATGATTGTGGTGTATATAGAAGAACTTTTGTTGTACATGACACAGTATATGCCAACGCCTCTTGAATATAGGGTCATATCTAAACATCATATCTATAGCATTTCATGATAAAGTGAAATTCATTTTTAATTTGCTTATATATTAAACAGGGCCCGGGGGCATTGATGAAACTCACTTTCACCAATTTGGCCTGGTGTTTGGCCTGCCTAAGCCTGGGGCCACATATCGACAATTGCCTGAAAGTAAAAGCGAAAGTGATCTCGAACCAGTTTAGCTCGTTGAAGCTTCATTGTTATAGTACTGGGGAAATTCCCGTAGCTCTTTTTGACAAGCATAATGAACAGTGGGCCACGGTTTAATGTCTCGTCCTAAGGACTGCGACCCTTTCCAGTAGCGTGCATGTCGGGTGAGCGACATCAGCCGGGATTCGAACTCCCAACCTCTTAGTCTAGAGGCAGGGTTGCTAACCACTGGACTACGCACGCAATACACTATACATGGACTTTGTTCTCACCTAACAATGCTTAATCTTTTAAAACTGCGACTATATCTAATTGCTAATAGGACTGGATCTGGTATTTGGCCTGCCTAATTTTATTGCTGCATTTAAAACAACACTGCACGAAAAGTTGGATTTACCAATGGTTGTAAACTCAGGTAATGTTTACTATGTACACAGTATCTGGCTTTACAATGGTAGAAAATAAAGGTCAATTGCAGTAATTTCCTTTACAACCGTTAAAAGTCCGGTATTATCGTACTTGACTTTTAGTTACTGCCATTGTAAAGTTCAGAAGTGTTTATTAATAAAGTAAACATTACACAACTCTACTGGTATCGGTAAATCCAAGTTTCGTGCCACACCGTGCCGACGAATAGCTTCTATCAAGTAATTTAAATCAACATATGATTCAAGATAGCAGAAGTATTTAACAGAATGGGGAACGTTTGTTGAACAGAAACCGAGGTGAACAATTAATTAAAAAGAAAATGAAATTATGGCAAGAAAAATTTGACACAGATAAACGTACAATTAGAGGTCGGAGATCTCATGCCTTCGTCAGAGGGACATTGTTCTAGATAAAGGAACGTTTTATAATACTAGAAATCAATTTGGTCTACAAAAGTACAAAAGAATTTTTTCTTACCATTTTTTATTCCATGACAGTGTCCTAAAATGTAATGAGAAGAAAAGGAAAGAATCAGAACAGGGGGAGATTTATTGCTGTTTTCGTTTGTTGTTACACTATGTTCTTTTAATTTAATTTGCGTCCTAACCTTTGTATTTCCACAGGTAGGATTTCCTAATCTATGCATCTTAATCAGTTTTTTTTTTGCCCTTCATGTATTTTATCACGCTTTTGCAATAAATTTAAGGTCTCCAGTGGACATCATCCATAAAAATTACTTGGTCTGGCCTTACAATTTAGGGAATGACCTGCCTGACGCATGTCCAACTTTTACTCCCCCCCCCCCATTATTTATAGGAGAGTCCCTCTATTGTAAGCAATTGATCCCAGATGCGGGGGCAGCTGTCCCCCATGTGAATCAATGCAGATGTTGGTGGAGAAAGTCCATTATATATCTAACACAAAAGGTCCACTGTAGCGACATAGAGACCCTTCACGAGACCCGTTTACGAACTTGACCTTGGCCTCTACATGTACATGGTAGCTTGCCTACCAAAAATTATGAACATCTATTTAAATATACTCGAGTTATTTTGCTCACAAGTCACAAACACAAAAAGTCCACTGCAGTGACGTACAGACCCCACACGAAGCCCAAACTTGCACTTGACCTTGGCCTTAATAACGGTAATCTGCCTATCAAAAATCATGGACGTCGAATCATGCCTTCAAGAGTTATTCCGCTAAATTTGCAGTCACCCACAATACGGCGAGACAATTCCATAGTCTTTCTGACGAAGACAACGTATAACAATGATAATGAAAGTAGCAGTTCAAGATTTTTACATTGATATAATTGACACAACTACAACAATTCCTCTTTCAGGGGAAGCTACCGGAAGTCAATGACGAATGTATCAAGGTATTATTTTTGTCCATATTCATAACTAGTCACCGTGGCCGAAGACGTCCTTCACATACATAGACTTTGCACAACAAGCCTGTTCACTGAGTTTACGGTGCAGTGTATGGGATTGTGCATGTTCATGTGTAAAGGCCACTGGTACATGAGAATTAACTTTGATGACATTTACCCATAATTTCGTATCACAATGTGAACTCAGACTACATAACGTTCTTTCGAGAAGCAAACAATACATAATCATCCATAAAAAATAAGTAGCCACATACAACAAGAGTTATGTTTACCGAAGGAAAACATATTGATTTTGCTACGTTCCCTCTTCTTCCGTTCAAAGCACTGACCTCTGACCTGGCCAATGACCTGATTTAATGACGTCTCTCACCATGGTAACTGGTGTTGGGTTACATCATGTTACAATTTTATAGTAGGAAGGATTTACACTCCTGTCTGACCATATATATGATGTATATGAACATATATATGTATTTGAGTAAGAATTAACAGGGCAGACCATATACGAAGGTAAAGATTATGCATTTGCTTTGCAAATGTTACTTTTCTAGTTAATTTTTGTTTTTATTTGACGTTGTGATTTAATGTTATTGGTGTCAAATGGTCTTTAAAGATCATTATATCATAAGTTGAAATAATATATCACCAAAGGAATACCTGGAGATCGTGAAGAAGCTCAAGATGTTTGTGAAGGCTGCAGAAAAAACAGGTGAGATATATTATTTCAACTATTACTGTTTTAAATTAAAACCAGCCTGGTATATTGACTTCATTGGTCCTATGATAACATTTGTTGTTTTTTTGCCCTGTCGCTTCATATTTTTTCTGAAAAAATCCGAGAACCAACAAATCGAATTGATGTGGCCCAGCCAACTGGATAGTTTTGACACCTGTCCGACATTTGAAGCAGCATCCACTACTTTTCGCCTTTCACTGACAAACGTTTCAAGTAGCATCCAGTCATTACTTGAAACTTCTGACAGCTTTCAAAATGTATCCAGTTCGGTAAGTTACAAAAAAAAAAAAATAGCAAGTAATACAAAAAACTCTCTCACCTAGATCTTTCGACCAGTCACTCTGGTCTTCCTCAGTTGGCTGGCCCAGTGAGGCTTGCACGTGGCTTCTTTGAAGTGTGACGTCAACACTGCAGGTCAAAGCTATCTGGTAGACGATGTCGGCCCCCGTCGCGGATAAGTGAAGGGTGGTGAGCCCTGATGTATATGGCCTCCTTCGCCCCTCTCAGGAAATAGTCTTGTTCATCAGTGTCCAAAATCCTTATTTTATTAAGTACAGTGACTGGTCGAAAGCTCTAGGTGAGATAATTTTTTGGGTTGGACCAAAAATTTTAACTTTAAACATGTAACTAGCAACACAGATGAACTTTAATTGTATTACAATTTTGTTGCTAAGCAACGTCTCCAGAGACTGTTCCTGTCGTGAAAGCCATCATGGTGACAATGGAAGGGATCTTCCAGGAGTACAGAAGTCAAGACTATGCAGCAACTATGAAAAGCACTTTGGCTGACTTAAAGGGGATCAAAGACCAACTGTAAGTGAAATTTCTTTCTTTCTTCAAATTGCAACGACAGTCCGTGGAGCAAATCCAGCTGATGTTGTGTTCCACACATAATAGAACATTATACTGAACAGTTAGAATACAAGCAAAGTGAAATTACCAGTTATGGTACCAAAATTGGAAGTTTGGGTGGTACAATGTAAAAACCAATTGATTACCAGCTAGGGTACCAAGTTCGGGTGGTGAAGATTGAAACCAATGCCATTTTGCTTAAATCTAGATGTAATTAAGCAGTAAGTAAGCAGTAAAAAATAGAAACATTCAATAAGATATAATATGGAGAGGCATACATACATTGAATCAAATTGTTGGCGTGGGCTTCACCCTACAGTTAAGAGCTCATTGTCTTGATATTAATCGTGTTTAAGACATGTGTTTTTCAATTATTGCCTCCGGGGATGGAGACATCCTTCCGCGGAAGGGCTTTGTAAGAGATTTAGATTTTCACGTTCGCAGCTGTTTCTCGCGTTTGGGTGGACGGATTCTTTTGGGACTCGGTATATGTTTTGCTATTGGGCTGTAGATGATGCATGTTCTTTTGTTTTTATTGTATTGTATTGTATTTATTTTATTGTGTTTTGGGGCGGAAAATGGTGCCTTCTGGTGGCCCCAAAACACCCCTTTGAGCGTGAAAATGGTCGCAACCGTTGACCTTTGGTGTGTTAAAAGTATCATAGGTCGGGTCCACTTGTATGACCTTCTATTTCGCAAAGAGGGTGTCTGGTATCGATACATTCTTTGTTAAAAAAAATATGCACCAAAACGCTGTTTTCCAGGTCTGCATAGCCAGATTCAGTGAAAATATGCACAATTCAAAGGACCTTTGGTGAAAATATATATTTCTTTGCGGATTTATGGTGTTTTTTTGACTTGGATCGAACCCGGAAGTGTGAAAACGGGGGCAAGGTGTATGGTAAAGGTAGCGAGTCACAAGTATGCAAATGAGTATTATGCAAACTTTTGCATACGTGCCTATATTACTACAACTTCTTGTAAACCCTTGTATATTTGACGTACTATAAGCAGCAAGCTTCTGTATGTGACATTTCGGACCCCAGTCACTATGTTTTCGATCGAAATATTCGTTTGTGGTTTTAACGTCAGATTTAACGGTTCCGGTTGTCATTCTGAGTTTCATTACGAGTTCCTTGCGGCAGATTAAATAGAATTTCATAAGTTCCTGCGTACATGTTATAAGCTGCAGATGAAAATGTTGACCTGTGTTAACACAACCTGGAACGCTAAATCTAACGCATAAAATCTAACACCATCAACTATTCATAACAAACTAGAGGTCGGAGATCTCATGTCTTCGTCAGAGGTAGAGAAATTAACATGCGTATTCTTCACTCTTTTTAATAATCAATTTGGTCTAAAGAACAAAAGAATCTCTGTACTATTTTTATGGTACAGAACACCCTGAAACGGTTTGCCGCAGATTATACAGATGCGTCGTCACCCGTCGTTACGCCCCCCCCCCCCTACGTTATTGGACTGTTACTGGGAAAAAAAACGTTCAAGAAATTCTTACTGTGTTGAAAGTGTCACGACAGCGCCGACAAAAAATAATAAAGGAAAGAATCAGAACAGGGTGACTACTGCTTTTTTGTTAATTTGTCTTTATGACAAATAGAAGACTTGTTTCTAGTGTTCTTTGTGTTCTAACATTTGTACTTCTACAGCTAGTATATTCCAAATCTAGGCATCTCGTTTTTCGGCCCTTCGTGTTTTTATTGCGCGCTTGCCTTAAATTTAAGGTAATTAGATTTAAGGCCTCCAGTGGACGTCATCCATAGCAATTACTTGGTGTGGCCGTAGAAAATAACCTGACATATGTCCAACCTATCCTCCCCCTGCTGAAGTTATAGTACAATCCCTCAATGTAACGTCATTTGATCCCATCCCATTATGGGGTTCCCCGGCTATATCCAGCTGTCGGCTGTCTCCAAGCAGATGTAGGTGGGGGATTTCTAAACACAAAAGGTCCTATTACGGGGACATAACGACCTCCACGACTCTCATCTTTGAACTCAATCTTGGAGACCACTACAGTAACATGCCTATCAAATTTCATTAACTTCCATCCACACATACAAAAGTTATCCTGCTCACAAGAAAAATTAACAAAATGCCCCCTGTAGTCACAACGAAACCCCCCACGAAGCTCAGTAACAAACTTAACCTTGGTCCCGACAATAGTAAGCACCACACCAAGAATTATAATCAACATTTTACAAATACTTGAGTTATCTTGCTAACAAGCCACAAACACAAAAGGTGCACTAACGTGACGCACGGACCCCCCACGAAGCCGAAACTCGTACTTGACTTCGGCCTCAACAGCGGTAATCTGCCTGCCAAAAATCATGGACGTCGAATCATGCCTTCCAGAGTTATAGCGCAAAATCCGCAGTTCCCCACACTCCGGCGAGACAATTTCATAGTCCTTCTGACGAAGACAACAACATATAAGAATATACAATAAAAAGCCCGGAGGTATAAAATCTCAGATTTTACTTCTTCTCTCTATACATGAATGTGTTGTCATTTTAATAGAGCCCAGCAGGATTCGCAAGATTTGGAAACAGTCTGGGCATGCATTGAAGGGGTAAGATATATTCTTTCAGACATACTTCTTGTGTCAAGATCACCATATACAATGATGATATAGTGCTCACAAGACACAAAGTACACTTGCCGGTGAATGATTATCCACTCATTACTTCTTATGACTTCTTATATACAATGTAAGAAGTTCTAATTTCAACAACGTTAATCGCAAGGCAATAAGAGATAACATGCCCTCTGAAAGAGCAAACACAAGCACAGACATACCTCCACACCGACGTGCACACACACGCGCGCGCGCGCACACACACACACATACACCACACACACACACACACGCACACGCACATGCACACGCACACGCACACGCACGCGCACACACACACACACACACACACACACACACACACACACACACACACACACACACACACACACACACACACACACGACAACAACACACGACACGACACACACACACACACACACACACAAGCACAAACACACGCAAGCACACACACACACACACACACACACACACACACAAGCACACACACGTACGCACACAAACCACATCACACACGTATACACACACACACAGACTCACTCACACCACACCACACATCACACGCACACGCACCACACGTACACAAACAGACATGCACACACACTCTCTGCCTCCAAATAGCATCTCTCATGTACATGTAATGTACATTACAGTAATATGTGTATGCCTCTTCATCAAGGTGTGCGAGAAAGTTAAGTCCACCTTTGGCTTGGAGACCACGAACATCCGCAACGAAAGTAACGGAAACCCAATGCAGGGGATCGAGTGTGTCAGTGAGAAACTGAAGGGCATGCACCAGACATTCATCACCAGGCAGATCAACTGGCAGGTAATCCCTTATAGCTATTTATGTTTACCGAAGGAAAGCATGTTGCTTTTGCTCAGTTTCTTCTTCAGTGACCTCTGACCTGACCAATGACACGATTTGTTGCCGTCTGTCACCATGGTTACTGGTGTTGGGTTAGTTTGTACAGACTCAGAATATCTATACATACTAGTCTCCCTGGAGTCGTAATTTGCTTTTTATGTGTTTTAGAAGAACTAAATAACAAATGTCATGACGTATTCCATGGCGATTTCAGATGGGCATGAGTGCGTTTCTGGGTTTGAGCACATTCATTGAGTGCTGGACAACGTTTACTATTTTAGACAAGTTCTCTATCGAGAACAGTCTTACGACAAAAAGCTACAGGAAATCACCGAAACGCTGTCAGAGGTGGAGCAGAGGGTCATTTCTCTTAGCAATGACATCAGCAAGGTGAGTATATTAATGTTGATTACTACGTGCATGTACATGAAACAAAATAAAATAAAAAATTTCTGTAATGTGTGTAACTGAAAGTAAGTTTTCTTTTTGTCTGTGAATTCGAACGTGGAGAAATTAGGATGGAATTTGTTGACCTCTTCAAACAAGTCATTTCTTTTGTGATCGTAGAAGGGGCAATTTGAAATGAAATGCGTTTCATCTGTCACCTTGAATTTGACATCCTCCCATGGCAGGGGCAGCGGCTCCGAATTCCTTCTCCACCCCTTACCCCTGCCGAATAACCCCGCATCTTCTACTCTACGACCCCAGGAATATTAATATTCATGAGCTTTCCTTATTTGGCATGACCCTATTTCTGATTTGGCCGCCGGCGACTCCGCCGCCGCCCGGTGATGAGCCCGTTGGGGAGGCCGTGCGGGGCAAAGTCACCGAGCCGCCCCCTCTTTTCTCCGCGCCGGCACCTTCCCCGTGCTCGGCGGGATCCGCGCGCAGCCTCCAGCACACGCTAGCGCCCCGCCGACGCCCGCAGCGGCCTGCATCGCAAACTTCTCTTCCCAAGACGACGCCATGTTTGTTTTTATTTGTCACTGAACAGCCGATGTAAGAGCCGACATGATTGGTTCCGATAGCTAGCGTAGCTCATAAATATTTAATGTGGAGTGCGTTGACGATTTTCTCTGTGATACGTGATTGGCTGAGACCGTGTCCCTGGAATCAGGTCGCAGAGTAGAAGATGCGGGGTTATTCGGCAGGGGTAAGGGGTGGAGAAGGAATTCGGAGCCGCTGCCCCTGCCATGGGAGGATGTGAATTTGAATGTTAAGTCTATTCACGTTGATGAAGGTTAGATATAGATCTAGACATCCAGGTAAACGATACTCACAGGAAATTCAAACTCTACTACTGGATAAATTACGGAGATAATATCCGGACGTTTCGAGTGACATCCACCACTCTCATATGATTTATCGAGTTCTGTTAGATCATTTGTATCGAGTTCTCATATGATTTATCGAGTTCTGTTAGATCATTTGTATCGAGTTCTGTTAGATCATTTGTGACGCTAAAGAAGAGTGGTGGATGTCACTCGAAACGTCCGGATATTATCTCCGTAATTTATCCAGTAGTAGAGTTTGAATTTCCTGTGAGTTAAGCCTATTTGCACATCAACCATGCATAACGACAGTGCCGTTCTTTGACTTGCTCATGCCCTTAGCCAGG